CAACAAGATAAATAAAAGACTTGCTCAAGAGACCATTTTCAAAACACCGTCATTAAATTCCCTGTGCTAAAAGCAAAACCCTCCACACAAAAAATCTTGCAGTAATGCTGGTTTGTAGAAAACAGCAATATTTGTACATCAGACAATATTTATGATTTTACCATTGGCATTAGGGATATTACATTTGAATAAATCAGCTACTTGAGTAGTCAAAGGAATTTCCATCAACTACTCGAGGGGGGGGGGGGGAGGAGGCTCCTGCTGGCTCACTGCACCTCTCCCTTTGAAAAGCAGTCCCATCTGGCACAGATTCCCCTCTGTGCCTCTTCCTTTGAAATGTACAAGAGCAGCTGCTCTTGCACATTCCAAAGGGAAAGGAGCGGCAGTGAGACTAGCCCAAGCAGGACTGTTTTAATCCCCACCTGTGATGCTTCCTCACTGTCTTCCCTGTGGAGACAGTGTTGGGGGGGGGGGGGGGGGGCGGGGGAGGGGAAAAGCCAGTACACGAAGGAAGAGAGAACAGCTTTTAAGCCAGTTGCCCCCAGCACTGGCTCATGCCCACCTTGCTGCCTCTTTCTGAGAGGCAGCGGGATTTGGGGAGGCTAGTTGAATTCCTACTCGACTACCTGATAAGCATTTGCTTATTGGGTAGTCAACTAGTTGCTAACATCCCTAATGCACAGTAGAAAAAAAAATAAGCAATTAGCTTTCCAGTAAGGAAAGGTTTGAGTATAACTGTGTTTTGGAGCACTAGTAAAAAAGTAAAAAGCTTCTTCATGGTCTATGAATGGCTATTAATGGATACAAAATTGCTCTTGATGAATCAGGGAACAAGGAAAGTGGAGGAAATGCACAATGCTATTATCCCTCTTGTATTTTGCAAGACTCCTTCCACCGTCATTCCCAAGGACATCTTTTCTAATCTGCTCCTGTATATCAGTAATCATAGTACTTTGAACTAGGGATGTTAACTATCATTATTTGTGTAAACACGTTACTGCTGGAAATTCTACATTTATACACAAAGGACAGCAGGCAGGAGCCAGTTGGGGGAGGGGGGGGGAGGGGAGGGGAAGCCAGCTTTTAAATCAGCTCCCCTCCCTTGTTGCCTCTGATACAGAGGCAGCAGCAGAAGGGGAGAATGTGTGTAGTTGATATGATTAACCAATAAGCCCAGACTTATTGGTTAATCGTGTGATTGTCTACACACTAACATCCCGACTTAAAATCTGGATTAGGAAGCCTATTCAGTTGTCTCAGTCCCTGCAAGTATAAAGGCCTTTTCCCTACCAACCACCCACACTGCAGCAATCGATCCACTAGCAGTCAATGTATTATGTCTGCATAGACATAATAAATCAGCCTTTGAGCTCTCTCCCATTGACTCTGGCACTCCACCAGGGTGAGAAGAGTAGCTCGAGTGGATGGTAGAGCTCGCTGACCTTACCATGTGCAAAACACATCAGCAATATGTCAACTTCAGCTACACTATTTGCATAGCTGAAACTGATTGGGGGGTGGGGTATGCAGTGCAAATTATGTCTAGAAAATCATCTCCCTTCTTCTATTTAACTATTCTACTGAAGGGATTTACAGGCTGAGATCCTATCCTCTCTCTTAGAGTACAGTGTCAAGTGGACAAGGGTAATTTCACACCAACAGTTTGCCCCCATTCATCATTTGTTTCCTTTCTGATTTTTGAAGAGGATGTAAGCATGTGATAATGTAGTTTAGGAACTACACTAGGGTTTTTTTTTTAAAAAACACATCCTACAAACTAATCTATCCAATTAGAAATTGGAATTAACAGCAATATTTGAAGCATTCCAGAACACTAATGAAATACTCCTCAGATATTCCAGCTATGCCTAAGTCACAAAGTCATTAAAAACCAAAACTTGCACAAAGTTTGAGGCTGGGTCCTGAAATTTTTGATTCAGTGCATCTTTGACCATCATAGTATATTTATTGCAAGAAAACATTAATTCAATACTGTCAGCAACCATACTGATCAATTATCCAACAATTGCTCCAAGTATGGCTAAAATACTCCAAGAACACTCCTGACACACATTCAGGCAGTTTTGCTGATTTACCCAAAATGGATCCAACATAGTACTAAAGTAAACCCAGAATACTGCACAATAAAGACCAAGAAGCTGATAACCAGAATCAATACATGACCCAACTGACTGACCAAGCTTCCATGCTACGTACTCCTCACAATTCCAGCATGACTTATTTCTCCCACCCATCATATCTAATATCTTTGAAAATCCCTCCCTCCAAGCCAGAGCCCTTCTCTCAAGTGCAGAGGTCCAGCATCAGAAGGATGCTTGGGAATCTCCACTCTTCATCTAGCACATCCACAGTTCTGTAAGAAATTAATTTACAAACAACCTGTCAGACCATGTTGAGTCTAACAAAATAGGAACATCAATCCTCAAAGGGGCACTTCTGATGCCACCCGATATCCTGTCTGTGACCAGTCACTATCCTCCCAAAAGTAATGATGAGCAACAGCAACTACTTGCAAGAAGCTGCAGGTCATCCAACATGAAGATCTTTTTAGCCCCTCCCCCACCTCTCCATCAGCAAACACCTGTTGAGTCTCAATTATGAGCATCAAGGTGCTGAGGTGATATCTTTTATTGGCCCCACATCCCTCCCTCTACTCCACCCCAATACAACGGATAAGTTTAAGCTACACAGAAAACTGGTCCGGGTAACTCAAAAGCTTCTCCCATCCTCCTGCAAAAGTTGGATCAATAGAAGTTATCACCTCACCCAGCTTCAGCCCAACACCGGCGTCCCGCACGCAGTTGTAAGCCGCCCCCCACCCGCACAAAGCAGGCAACGGTCAAACCGCCCTCGGCATTTTGATCAGGTCCCAGCGGGAACCGCACAGGCCCGACAGACTCGGGGCTGGGCCCTGCGGCCCGGCTCAGGAGCCCATGCGCCGTTTACACGGAACCTTTCTAGGTCCCGGAGGGAGCGGCGCGGACGGAGCACG